TGAGCACGCCAAGCTTTTTAGAGGCCAATTTGGCCTTCTCTTCCAAGTGACCATGAAACTGCACGTCACTCGATATGTCGACGCCGAGGATTCCGATACTGGCTGAGGCAACAAGGGGAGTGCCTTTAAACTTAGGAGATACGACAAAGGGGTTCTTTTTAGAGGTTGACGCGCAAACTTGTGTCTTCTGGGGGTTAAACTGGACTAGATTTAGTCGCCCCAATCCGATACTTGACTCGGACTCTACTGCCTCCGCCCATCTGTGAGTAAGGTAGACCAGAAGATCACCAGCTGACCGACCACGGCGAAAACCGTATTGGCGATCACTAATCAGCTGGTGATCCTCAAGATACCTCATGACCTGGCAGTTTACAATGGACTCCATTGTTTTGGAGAACAAGAAGGTGATGGCGATAGGCCTGTAGTTGGACGGGTCTGAGCGGTCGCCTTTTTTATCGATTGGGTGGACGAAAGCCGTCTTCCATGATTTTGGGACTACGCCTAGGGAGTAGGAGTACCGAAAAAGACGCGTTAAAACCGGTGACAACTCTGGACCACACGTCCTCAGCACAATTGGGGGGATTCCGTCAGGCCCACTCGACTTGTGGATGTCCAGGGAGAGGAGTGCTTTGCGAACCGAACGTGTGAAGGTGGAGCACTCACACCGCGGGATGGTCGGCGGCGTACTCCCCCTGTCATCGAGAGTCGAGTTGGACGCAAAGATAGAGCCTAGAAGATCGTCTTTCTCCTTTGCGGTATGGGCCAGTGAGTCGTCCTCTCTGTGCAGAGATGGACGAGATGGCTGACAGAAATTCCCCTGGACAGCCTTGGCGAGAGACCAGAATGCACGGGTTCCAGCTATTTGTACTAGAAGTAATAATTTTAATCTATATTTATTATAATCTTCTAATGTCGATCATGTTATCTTAAAACAATTGTATAGTTTTAGTATTACTTAAGTATATATACATATACTTAAGTAAATGAGTTCAGATGACAAACCATTTTTCAACCGACTTCAAAGAAGGATGAGGTTCTCTGGTCGACGGTATTTTTTATTAGTATCATATCTGATCTTTTTCCAGGTAAATCGATTTCGATGTTTTTTTATAAAGTAATAAGTAAAATAAGCTAAGTAAATAAGCTGGTGCTTCTGTTGTGGTCGCATATAAATTTTATCAAGACCTGACCGGTAATTTTTGAGATATCCTTAATAATGCGTTTTTGATTGACTACGACTAAATGGATGATATTCCTTCACATTTTATTATTAAGTTGGTTACACAATTTTTACTATTTGTAAATCATTAAGCTGCGCATTAAGTTTAGGAACCGCAATTACATGTGTTTATAATATAATGTTGCTTTTGTTGTTAAGTTTAAATTAATTAATTAATAAAAAATATATAATTTGTATCGCCTACATCTATTTACTATTTACCCTTGTTATTGACAAAGTATTGCTCGTCTGCAGTTGCACTTAGATTTACCGGTTATAATTTATAATGCAAGTCGTAAATTTATTACACACATAAGAACACATAAATCATTTAACATATCTATCAATTTATATCCTGAGATTTCTATCACCCTTGGAATGCTTATTTCATAGTTCATTCATTAATGAGATACCTTCATATGGTGCCTGTATCTCCGTCCGATTACAGGCTAGATGTCATCAAGGCAAGAGTAATTATGCTTTGGTTATGCTAAAATATTAGAATTTACTTTCTTGGGCCAGTATTGTTCAGTTGGCCAAGTATTGCCTTATATAACTTAAGAAAAACTTATTAAAAACGAGAGGAACTGTAAGGAACATAATATAAACAGTTGATATATAATATAAAGATAATTAAATAAATTATTATCTATTGGAAAAATAATAATAAATTGAAAAAAATAGTTAAATAAATAACTCAGTACGCATATAATTTTTTTCCTTTACACATAGTCATGGTTTGTGACCTGCAACCAAAATCAAACAAAAATGGCTACATACAGGGTATCCGAGAACTCAACGTCAAGCCGAAACGGGGTGACAGGATTGATTATAACCATCAGGAGAAAAATCAGAAAAAAAATCTATCCCATGCAGTTTGGAAATTATGGGCATTTAAAAAAAACCTAGAAATTTGGTCAAACTGTAACCATTTTTCGGTTATTGTGGTTAATTTTTATTATTTTTGTTCGTTCCAAATTTTGGAACTGTAACCCTAAATAATATTTCTAAAACCACAGTCAAAAGTAATGACACAACTGCCCCAAGTTTTCTAGAATTAAGACTATTTATTAAACTATGAATCTAAAATTTTCAAAATTTTTCGGCTTGAAAAGCCCTCCTTTAAAAAAATGTACGAAAGTGCCTTGGCAAGTACCAATAAAAGTTTGCGCATTTAATTAGGATTGTAAAATTGTACAATATTTCTTAGTTTCATATTAAAAAAAAACTAGTAAAAAAATAGAAACCTCGAGTAACCCCATTTTTGCTAACCCATTTTACTCAGATCAAATGTTTATTATTAAAATTTTTTTAAATTAAAAATTTTTTTTATTATCTTTTTTAAATCTTTTTTTTTTTTATTCTCTTATACACCCTTTTTTTTTTTTTTTTTTTTTTTTTTTTTGGTGTGTTTATATCTGTTCAGCGTTTCCTCATTTTGTGCTGTTTCATGTATTTTATGGTGTTATGCAAGTTTTTTGTATTATTATTATTATTATTCGCACAAGCTCTTGGTAGGTTCTTAATTTTACGGCAAAATGATGAGTGAGATGGCTAGTGCACATGTTGGCCATAAGCGACCGAGACAGATAGTGACGCCACGCAGTGAGACGTAGATGCGTCTGACACCAGTTAGTACGTTTCACTTATTCGTCTGCTGCGTACCTTTTCGTATTCGCTTGTGTTGATTTAGTACTGACAACTTTGGCTTCTCTTTTTGGACTTGGATTTTTGTGAATTGGACTTGTTGATTACATACCGGCAACTTTGGCTTCTCTCTTTTGGAATTGGACCTTTGTGTTGGCATCCTTGTTATCTACCATGCCTACGCGCTACACTTCAAAAGAATATGCGAACATGCACCTCATTTATGGATGGAAATATTATCTGCATTCAGATGCAACGCAAGTGCCGCCGCTAGACTTTATCGTGAAAGATATCCAAATTTAGGGCGCTATCCGGATCACCGCGTGTTTGTTAATGTCCACCGTTCACTCACGGAGGGCGGCCATTTCCCGAATCAAATACGGGCTGGAGGTAGAGCTCACTTTTCTTACGAGGAAGAAGTGTTGCAAGGGATCGCAGATGACCGATTCCGTTCGTGGAATTGAAGAAAGAACGGGAATACCCAAAAGCACATCACATCCTATTTTACAAAGAGCCGAAATGCACCCGTTTCACGTACAACGAGTTCAAAGTCTTCTTCCTTGAGATTATCTTGAAAGGATTCCCTTTTGTAAAACAATGCTACAGAGGCATAATGGAAATCTCCAATTCATCCAAAATATTCTCTGGTCAGATGAATCTACATTTAAAAAAAGATGGTTACATAAACTTACACAATTTTCACGAGTGGCATGTGGCGAATCCACATTTAATGCGAGAAGACAGATCCCGGTATCGCACTAAAGTAAACCTGTAGACCAGAATTTTAAACGTCAAAATTGTTGGGCCTTTTTTTACTAGAAAATTTACCAACTTTGTTAGAGGACGGACCACTAACAGATCGTCGCCAAATGTGGTATCAACAAGATGACTGCCCAGCGCATTACGCAGTGTAAGTAAGAGATTTCCCTGACCAGGAATATCCCGGAAGGTGGATGAGACATTCAGGCACTATCTCGTGGCCAGCCCGTTCTTCAGATTTAAATCCTCTGGATTTTTTATTGGGGCGTTTAAAGAAAAAGTTTATTCAAAGCCCATTAACAGCGTAGCCGAGCTGCGTGAACGAATTTCTCAAGCTGCTGAGGACATCAACTCTCGAGGATATGCCCGACTAATAACTAGATCTTTTTTAATAAGATGTAGGGCGTGTATTGGGGCTGATGGTAGACAATTTGAACATTTATTATATTAAAAATGTTATTTCCCTATCTGATTTTTATTCCAATAAACCTAAACTAAACTAGGTCAAGATTTTTCATTATTTTATTAATTTTACTTACTTATGTTGACTTTGGTAAAAGGGGCGTCACTATCTGTCTCGGTCGCTCATGGCAAACATGTCCACTATCCATCTCTCACATCAATAAAAAACGTTTGAACTGAGTAAAATGGGTATTTTTTTGCTAATTTTTATTGGCATGAAACTAACAAGTTTGTACCATTTTACAATTTTGATTAAATGCGCGAACTTTTAATGGCGCTTGCCAAGGCACCTTAAAACATTTTTTTAAAGGTTATTAACTTGTTTTGTTTTTAAAGTGGCTTTCAAAGTCCATAAATTTTGAAAATTTTAAATTCATAGTTTTTTAACAAATAGTCTTAATTCTAGAAAACTTGGGGCAGTTGTTTCATTATTTTTGACTGTGGTTCTAGAAATGTTATTTAGGGTTACGGTTCCAAAGTTTAAATGAACAAAATTAATAAAAATTTGCCACTATAACCAAAAAGTGTTCCAGTTTGACCAAATTTCTTGGTTAATTAGGATGTAATAATACTTTAAGGGTGGTTCCATATAATTTTTTAGAAAAAATTACACCTCTAACGGTAAAAAAATTAAAAAAAACTTCTCTAAAGTTAGAATTATATATAATTATGTACAATCCTAAACTTTATAATTATAGCAACAAGAAAAACTACAAAAATATTACGGCTATCAAATCCTTGATCTGTATGAGATCAAAGTTTACGACCATGGAAAAAACGGTAATTCGTTTTAAGACCGAATGAAATGTACAACACTATCAAAAACTGAACGATTTTGCATCTTCCGGTCACCATCTTTTGGTTTCTCTTGTTGTCGTTGTCAGGTCGGCGAATTTTCTTTAAAGCCGTAACCATGGGTCGTATGCACGCACCTGGGTAATTACTTTATTATTTTATTAGTGAATATATTATATTATTTAAATGTACTGATTTTTCCATGTGCAAGACTCAAGATACGTGTATGATATGATAACCTAAAATGTTGCTTGTCCACCACATGGCGTCTCTGATTGTGATTTGTGATTGTGTGTTACAGTAAGGGTATTTCCCAGTCGGCATTGCCGTATCGTCGCAGTGTGCCGACTTGGTTAAAACTGACAGCTGATGATGTTAAGGAACAAATTTTCAAACTTGGCAAAAAGGGTCTCACTCCATCCCAAATTGGTGCGTATCATTTTAGTTCATTTTCAGACAGAGAACTTGAAAATCATTTCTAAATGTATCAAATATAATAGAATTACTACTTTTTAAGTTTCAAATGTCTACTGATAAGCTATAATATATAAGTAATTTATGATTGTACATGTTGACATGTGCAGTCCATACATCTGCTTTTATTCTAGAGAGATAATTTCACTGGAATGGATAGGTTATCACTTTGGTATTTGTAAGTTTTAGTGTTTGTGTGATAAGATTTATACTGTGTAGCGCCACCTTTGTGACAGATTCCACTACCCTATATCATACCATAGGTGTTGTAACTAGGAGGCGATAGAGAGAAATGATACAAGTGATAGCCAGTGCTATCTTTCTGATTAAAACTAAAAATAATGAAAAACTGCAGTTGCCAACATGCTTGCCCCAATATCTTAATGTCTCCCATTGGAAGGCAGTCTATGGGTGAGGCCTATATTGACTTAAGTTTTAATAGACTGGAATGGAATGTATATATATATGACAAACCGACATAGTCGCCTTCCCAAAGACCATCGCATGCCCCGTAAGTACACTGATAACAACTCCAGTAGGCAATGTATTAAAATGATGTTAAAAGACCACATATCAGAAATCAGTATGACTTTATTTTAATTTATTCAAACAAAGTATTATCAATAAATGAACACACGCAATGCTTAAAAGCTATTATGAAGTGTGTTAATATGTTTTATTTGATCATTATTAAATCGAAGTAACAAACTTATTTACAGTCCACCTGAGTAAACAGCTATTGCATTCTATGGACACCTGCAACAAAAAAAAAATGGCTACATATACATTGTCACCCCTAAGGACTAAGATGGAATGCCTGTTATTATATTAGCTGTTGTGTCCTTTAGACCAGAACGCAGCATGTATCTTACAACTCATAAGAAATTGATAACCAAATAATCTATTGCATAGCCTTTTCAAGAATCTGTTAATCAACATGCATTATTTGAAAGATATATCTTAAGATATCTTTTAAGTTCTCAACATTATGTGTAACAGTTTAAATCTCTTTATCATGCATCTGTGAGATTTGGGTCAGGCATTTTTTAGTTGCCAAAGCTCTGATTATGTAGCTAAGGTTGGAAGAGCTTTTTAGCCTCAACTAATTAGCTGGAATGCGTGGAAGTTGAGGAAAAAGTGGTAAAATTAAAAATTCTGCACAACCTACTTCAAAATAATTAAAAAGAACCACAGCAATGTAGTTGAAGTCAATTAAATTTGCATTATGGATAACTCAAAAACTGCTGATCAGATATTGATCAAATTTATATGGGACCACAAGGGAAGCACCAGATTTAAAATTAAAAAAGAATCAAAATCGCTTCATTTAGAAAAAATTCTGAGGTAACAAAATTTAAAAAAGTCGAAGTTAGTTGAAAAGTTCAGTAAAGCCTTTAAACAAACAATCTTTTACTATGGTGCCCCAATGTGTGTGGCAAGTACTACATATGTCTTTGAAATGTTTTTTATTTTATTGTGGTGGCGCTGTTGTGCTCAAGGAACCACATCGAAGCCTAAATCGCGATATCAAAGTTCCAAAGTAAAAACAGTATATATACAATGTGAACAATCACATGGAACGTTGCCCACTACCTGGGCAGAACACCTTGCCCGGCGGGAGATCTCCCCTTTTTTTCATGGCCACAGACATGTAGGTTTCCTCACAATGTTTTGCAGCTTAATGCTACTGTGTTTCGTATGGTGAGCTTCGAGATCTGGAGACCCTTTTTACTGGAAATAAGGCATTTCATTTTAATCCTTAGGTGTGGCAATGCATCTATCTGCATTTTGATTCTTATTCAAGGATAAATGTAGATATCTATGGGTTATGAGATATGAAAAATCAGAGTGGCGAGATATCTATGGGTCAAAGCATACACTTACCATCGGTTGGACTGTGTGCTTGTTTGTATGTTTGCCTTCATTGTTGATCATGTAGTTAATCAGCACTTAAGGCGACACCGTGAAAAAATGCACCTCCTTTCATCGAATAGTATAGGACTATGACACCACTAACGAAAGTGGGATTTTGATATAGGTAAATTTATGTCTTTATCTTGAATTTGATAGCTCAAAAACACTATTGTATAATTTTGACTCAATCATAATTATTTGCGAAAACACCTCTAAAAATCACTATAGTTAAAATTACAACGAAATCATTTGATCTATATGTTTGGGCATAATTTACTTGCTCATTATTTTGAAAAACCAATTAAATCAATAATTTTTTTAAAAAATATTTTAAGATTCTGACAATTTCTAAGCGCTTTTAATCGTCGCAGGTGCTACGCAATTTCAGACCTTAAGACGGCGTTTCTTCAAGCTTTTATAGAAATTATGTATTCACTCGGATCAGTACGGCGATAGCGTTTTCGATGTGTCGTCTTAATATTGCAATTAACAATTTCATTGTTGCCAGTGGGGATCAAACATGGTTTACATACTGTACAAAGCTAACACTGTTCTTTTTAGTGATTTTGCAAGTAAAACATTAAGTAATTATTTTAATTTCAGGTGTCATGCTCAGGGATTCACATGGTGTTGCCCAAGTCAGATTTGTCACTGGCAAAAAGATCCTCCGTATCATGAAGGCTATGGGTCTTGCTCCTGATCTACCTGAGGATCTGTACTACCTGATCAAAAAGGCTGTCGCAATGAGGAAGCACTTAGAAAGGAACAGGAAGGACAAGGACAGCAAATTCAGACTCATTCTTGTTGAATCCAGAATTCACAGGCTGGCCCGTTACTACAAAACAAAGAGTGTGCTCCCTCCCAATTGGAAATATGAGTCAAGCACTGCGTCTGCTTTGGTGGCTTAAGTTTAAATAAACTATATATAAATATACCACTGTAAAAATGTTTCATTATGAATATATTCATATAATTATAATCTGTGTGTAATGTAATAGATGGGATTCTTCTGGTCGAGCAAGCAGATATGTTTGTATATTTAGGATTGTGTTTTCAGCAGGGATGGGATGTATGATAAGGAAAAGAATTCGGAATTGCCTCTATCTGAAACAAACATTATTCAAATTTAGCAAGGATGGGAAATATGATAGGGTGTAGTATGATGAGTGAAGGCAGGAAATAAAGTAAATGGGGTTCTACACTCTATTGTGAAAAGTCAGAATGTGTCAAAAAAGGCACATTTGGCAATTCACAATGCTGTGTTAATTCTTACTTTAACATATGGTAGTGAGAGTTAGGTGCGGCAGAAGAAGCACGAGAGTAGAATAAATGCAGTAGAAATCAATCTCACTCTGTCACTCTGAAAAATTGTGTGATAAAAGAAGATTGTGGTTTGCAAGATGATGCTCTGACCAGGATTAAGAAAGAATGCTTCAGTGATTTGGTCATGTAGAAAGAAAGAATGAGGAATGAGTGACAAAGCAAATTTATATTGCAGAAGTGAATGGAAGAGTCTGAAAGGGGTGTCTTAGGCGAAAGTTTATGACATGACGTGTTTATGCTATGTTTTTATGTAATAGTTATAGGCTAAATAAGTCCCCATTCTTGGATCCAGACCTGTAATTTTTGAGAGGGTCTTAGGCCAAGGAAACGTCCACAGCATTGTGCGAATGTGGTGTTGGTTAACTGTCCATGCCTTTAAAAATATATTTTTAATTTCTCAGACTAGAGTAGATTTTCTTACAATGTTTTTCTTCAACATGTGCCTCGAGCATTTGTTAAACTTTCAATTCGTCACCTCAATTTCAAACAATTTCATTTGTGCCGGTGGAGATCAAACCCAGGTTGCCTGTACACTGAAATTTATAGCAAGCATTTAGGCCAAGAGCTGCAACAACTATATTGTTGATAATCTACAAAATTTAAGCACATAGCTTGGTCAGTTTGCATGTTGGATAAGATGCCAAAGGAGGAAAAAATAATTGAATGAATGGTTTTGAGAAGTAGCAAAACCATTTATTGTATAGTCCTTGCAAATGACAATACAGTATTCATTGCTAGAAGTCTATCCGCAGGGTAGGTGGATTTGAATCAGTTTTACAATTGCAGTACCAAAAACTGCTGTGTCACTGAATTCTTTTGTATCTTGTGTAAATAACCAATCGAACCAACATAGTTAAATTGCCTCTGATTGCCTCGTTAGTCTACTGGTTGTAAATCCAACTGGTTATCATGAGGTCCCGGGTCTGGCCCAAAAAAAAACTCCAGTTATTGTTTTTCTGTCAAGAAATTCTCAGTAGCTGCCTGGAGTGAGGAAGTTGTGTGGTGTCACCCCCTTGCCTTGAAAATTCCGTAAAGTCATTCGTGTTGCGCCTGGTCTCTGTCTGGTCGTGTCGGTTTACCGTCCTATCGGACTATGAGAGTGAGGGAGTACAGAGTGCACTTGAGCTTGCGCATACAATTGGGCACTTTAATCCTGATCTGCGCCGATGGCTTGTCCACGTTGAGACTGGCTGCCGTCACCGAAATTCGGTCTGGAGGACATTATTATTATTTATTGTATTGTGTCAGAGGGCACAAGATCTTTTCAGCTCTTCCCTAATATGTTTAACTACACTTATAAGCATTTAACTACCGTAATACGTCTGTTTTACGTATAGTGAATGGATTCGCTATGTAAAGGCGGCGTAAGAACTTTTTTATACGTGGTAGAGCCATGCTACAGTTAAGTACATTAATAGTATAGTTGTAGCACGAATGAGTCGGCTCGACCGGAGAAGAACCACGCTCTCACAGAATACCAGCGTGAAATAGTAGCATAATGCTGCTGCGTTTCGTATGGTGAGTGTAGAGAACCGGAGACCCTTTTTACTGGGAACGAGGCATTCCATCTTAGTCCTCACGGGTGACAACGCATTTTGATTTGTAATCGAGGATAGATGTAGATGTCTATGGGCCGCAGCAACCACTTACCATCAGATGGACTGTGTGCTCGTTTGTCACCCTATCCTATAAAAAAAAGAATATCCACTATCCCAATTCGGCTCCTGGGTGTCGTAAGAGGCGACTATGAAATTGCTAGAAAAATATCAGACCGACGACGAGGAGCATCGTCAAGTGCGCCACACGTCTGCTACTGCGACAGTCAATCCGCCTGCCTAACAATGAAGATTTAAACTAAATATAGCTGATGAAGATATAAAATTCTTACACTTTTAGCTTAGTTAACTAGCCCTTGTAGCCCCCGTGCATATCTGTCGCCGTCCATGAACAACTGCAACACCAGGGGAATTGCAGGTGTGTTGCCGGCTTTTTAAAAAGGATTAAGCTCTTGAAGGTTCCTAAGTCGTATCGGTCCGGAAAAATCACCGGTGGTAAATAATTTCACAGAGAAGTTGTACGAGGAAGAAAACTCTAAGTAAAACCCACAGTGGAGACCGCCAAGCATCCAGATGATGAGGATGGTATCGTGAATTTTGAGGCGATGTGCGTTCGCGAAATTTGGCGGCTGGAATTAATCCGAACAATCCCTGAGAACACTCCCCGCGGTAGATACGATAGAAAACGCAAAGGGATGCGACATCCCTACGCAGCGCCAGTGAATCGAGCCGATGGAAAAGCACTCGGTCGCCGACGAAGAATCGTTCTGCGCTGGATGCGGTGAAGGGGAAGACACTGGGGTGCCCCGGCTCAGAGATGAGAGCAGTATTTCATGTGAGGCCGAACTTGCGCTTTGTAAAGTTGCAAGCAATGTGCCGGCATGAAATACTGTCTCGCTCTGCTGAGCACGCCAAGCTTTTTAGAGGCCAATTTGGCCTTCCCCTCCAAGTAACCATGAAACTGCGCACTATTCGATATGTCGACGCCTATGATTCCGATGCTAGCTGAGGCAACAAGGGAAGTGCCTTCAAATGTATATACTTCAAACTGAGGAGATACGACAAAGGGGTTCTTTTTAACGGTTAACGCTCAAACTCGTCTTTCCGGGATTGAATTGGACCATATTTAGTCGCCCCCAGTCTAAGACTTTGCTTAGCAAAGACTCGACTTCAGACACAAGTTTGTCAAGGTACTCGGCGACGTTTTCTCGAGAAATATTGGTACGTCCGGTGTATAAGGCATCACCAGTGCTGTCGTCTGCATAGCAATTAATGTTACCAGTTTGCAACATATCATGGATATGCAGAAGAAACAGCGAGTAAAAAAGCATTTTTCAGGAAGGTAGTAGTTACAAGAATAAAAGATTTCAACTTTGTAGTAATTTTAAAAATGTTTAATTTAAAAACTAGTGTACAACACAGGACGTTCGAAATATATAACACAAATATATTTGGGTACAATAAAATTACTTTTCGTGGTTTTGCATTAGCAAAATCTTTAACAATTTCATGTTTAATACTTATTTACGATAAATTTGTCAATCTACTTTGCAACAATGGTGATCCAAGATAGTTTTTTCGTTTAGAAATTCCGCTCTAGACTAAACCTGCTCGGGGCAAACGGAGCAATAAGTCAAATAAGCAAAAAGTACGCTATCCGTAGATTTCTGCAACATCAGGGAACTTCATTCAAACCTTAACGCCGTCGACTACCATCTGGAAATGGCGAAGCCGGCCTTGTTCTTTCTATCCGAGACACAGATGTCCTCTCCGACAGACAATTTATATCTCTCCTACTCGGGGTACAGATTAGAACACTCTTTTGTGCCCCAGGCTGGAGTTTGCGTGTACGTCAGAGAGGACTTCTGTTTTCGATGCCCCGGCAGTCTTGAAGGTACAGACCTGTCCATCTTATGGCTACGTGTAGACAGCGACGACTACCTCTGCGTCTACGGGTGCCTATATAGGTCCCATAGCGGTAATGCCGACACAGACCGACTGATCGACCACGTCCAGATGGCTGCAGACTCCGTGCTACAACAGGTCCCATCCGCAGAGATCGTGATACTTGGTGATTTTAATACTGAACCGTTCTCGTTTAACCGATCACGCGGGTAGATCTGTTTATGACTTTGCTTTGGCATATGGTTTCACACAACTGGTTACCTCGCCTACGCGGATCCCAGATGTGGAAGATCATGTACCTTCTCTGTTGGACCTTCTGCTGACCTCTCATCTGGACGGGTATCAGGTCTCCGTGGACGCCCCTCTTGGCTCCTCGGAACATTGTCTCCGGAGTACAGTGCCACACACGCTTCATCGCGGTTGCGTACTGCAGGTTGCCGCTGTGTTTGGCATTATAGGTCAGCCGATTGGGACGAGATGCCATCATTTTTTGCATCCTACCCTTGGAGGCGGGTTTGCTTCTCGCCGGATGATCTCAGCGTTGTTGCTGATTCTGTCGCTGATGTGGTGCTACAGGGAATGGAACTTTTTATTCCATCATCTTTGGTATATATCGGAGGCAGAACCCAGCCTTGGTTTGATCGCTCCTGCAAACTGCATTGGGGTCGACATATCGAGTGACGTGCAGTTTCGTGGTCACTTGGAAGAGAAGGCCAAATTGGCCTCTAAAAAGCTTGGCGTGCTCAGCAGAGCGGGACAGTACTTCATGCCGGCACACCACCTGCAACTTTACGAGGCGCAGGTTCGGCCGCACGTGGAATACTGTTCCCATCTCTGGGCCGGGGCTCCCCAGTACCAGCTCCTTCCACTTGACCGCATCCAGCGCAGAGCGGCTCGAATCGACGACCGAGTGCTTTCCGATCGGTTTGATTCACTGGCACTGCGAAGAGATGTTGCATCTCTTTGCATCCTCTGTCGCATATACCATGGAGAGTGCTCTGAGAAATTGTTCGGATTAATCCCAGCCGCCAAATTTCGTGAACACGCTACGCGGCAAACGTCCCGATACCATCCACACCATCTGGATGCTTGGCGGTCCACCACTGTACGTTTCAAAAGGAGTT